CCTGTACCAGGTGAGCGTCCCCCATCATCATTGGTTTTAGGGAGTGTTTGATTCATAAATAGCCTTGATCAGAAATCATTTCAGAAGTTCCCTTCTATCTATTCATGCAGGAGTGCTGCCTACTGGCACTCTTCTCCCCCAACCAAACAAGAACTTTTTAATGCTATCCTTCCCCACGATGGCTCAGTCACTCCGAATAAGAGGTGCTCTGTAGTCCATCTCTTGCGTGAATAGCCATCACAAGCTTTCCTATAGACATCTCATTTTTCTCCAGTCCTGTTTACCTGAAAAGGACATTACAGAGCAAACTGGCAGACTACAAACTCTGGCAGTGTCTATTCATGCTTGCAGGAGAAGGGGAGAAGGTGTAAATGAAGGAGGCATCTCTGAGACCAGGAATTGGGGTGGGTGGGTGGAGCAGAGAGGAACACACCCCCCCCCAAGGAGACTTAACCTCACTTGCTTAACCCTGTTATGGAGATTAATGTTAATCAAGTAATAGCAGCAAAAAATTAGGCTTGGCAACTGCTATTCTCTGCAGTCATTTTTCAGAAGGTGGAGGTCCCCATAGTGGAAAGTGTTTTTGACTCCGGCTTTGGCTGATCTACACCCTGGAGTCCAATTATTAGTTTCTAAATTCTCTTGTGGGAAGAACCAAGCTAGTTAGCAACCACACTGACTTCTGACGGCGGGCCTGATGGAGCAGGCAGCAAAATTAGCCACTTCCCTTCCCCACTACAACAGAAATTGAGGTTTCGTACCTTGCTCACAAGATCACTTTTGTGCTATTTGCGTGATTATGCCGTAGAGGCTGCTTCCTGACCTGACCTTTGATTACTGTTCTGTAGGCAAGGATGTGTCTGAAGATGAGGACCGAATGGGGGAAAGGTATTCAGAGCAGTGCTTTCTTGACGGATTTACGGACGATGATAATCATGCAAGATGGGGGACATCCAGAGCTTGGAAAACTTCTCTTTTGAACAATTGACTTCCAGCTAGCTCGGCCACTCTTATGCCTCTCTTGGATAAAGTCCAGTACATGTGAATGCCTCCAGCATTCAAAGGAAAACTGTACAACGCTCTGCCTAATCTGCTTGGATCTGGATTCCTGCATTGAGCAGGGGGTTGGGCTTGATGTCCTCACGGTCCCCTCCTTATTCTATGATTGCTGGGGAATTCTTGGAATCATAGCGCAAAAGAATCAAACATTGCAGACAGCAAGGTCATTGCTGATGCTGTAACCAGCGAATCAATTATTTCAGTTTATATTATGCCATCTGTTGCCTTTGTTTCTCCAGCTCTCGTGACGCAGAGGTTAAACTGCAGTCCTGCAGTCAAGACTCTGCTCACGGATTGAGTTCGATCCTGGGCTCAAATAGCTGCCTTGAGGTTGACTCATCCTTCCATCTTTCCAGTAAACTGAGTACCCAGCTTGCTTGGGATCGGGTCAATGTGTAGCCTGTGTAATTAAACTGTAAACCACTGAGATAGAGATTTAAGCACTACGAGGCGATATAAAAGCAGCTCACTCTGCTTTTTTGCTTTTAGGTCTGTCGCCCTGAGCTGTCTGAAAGTCTCCTCTATTTATTCTCTGCTGCTCTATAGCTGTGTGATTCCACCTTTTACTTCCATCAAATCACACCCTTTTTTTGTGAAATCATTGTACTTAGCTCCATCAATAAATCATTCTTAGATACAATGAAGCTTTCCTGCACATTTGTGAGAGCATATTTGTGTCTTAGAGAGATAAATACGTGTAGATATACAAATTATAAATTGTTTGTGTGCCTTGTGATCTTGCTTCTCTCTTACACTCACTTTCTTTCTCCCCCGAAATACTAAATTTAGATTGTATGCTCCTTGGGGCAGAGAACGGTCACCTTTACTTAGGTTAAGTCACATGTACAGCGATGGCACTATTAGTTAGTGTGCCACTTACAAGCCTTTTTGCACATGAAAATCCAGGTCTGCCAAGAACCTTCACTGGTTGTGGTTTCTTGCCACTAAGTTTGTGCCCATCTGTCTTCCCACTCCTTCTCCTTGACTGGGCCTCATTGTTCCCCCCCCTTTTTTTGCTGAATTGGCATCACTGCACCTGTGCTCTCATTCAACACAGAACCTTTTAAAATGTATTTCAAGAGGAACTCGAGTTGGTTTCTTTACAATCCCATCTCTTTGGGCTCCTTCTCTTCCTCTACTTAATTCTGCATTCCCCCCCACCAATGGTTTGTAGCATCTAATCTGACTTGGTATATAAATTACATGGGTGTGGTTTCACCCACACGTGGTTGTTTTAGGTAAAGGTAAAGGTTCCCCTTGACATTTAGTCCAGTGGTGTCTGACTCTAGGGCGCAGTGCTCATCCCCGTCTCCAAGCCATAGAGCCAGCATTTGTCCGAAGACAATCTTCGTGGTCCTGTGGCCAGCATGACCAGACACAGAACACCATGACCTTCCCACCGAGGTGGTACCTATTTATCGACTCGCATTTTAACATGTTTTCGAACGGCTAGGTTGGCAGGAGCTGGGACAAGCGACGGGAGCTCCCTCCATTGTGTGGATTCAATCTTACGACGGCAGGTCTTCTGACCTTGCAGCCCAGAGGCTTCTGCGGTTTAACCTGCAGCGCCACCACGTCCCACGTGGTTGTTTTAGATGATGAGAAAAGACACTGAGTTCAAAGTCTTACCGCTTAAAAACAATTAGTTGCCATTAAGAGGTTCAAAACTCGGTAGTTAGGATACCAGCTACGGTGGTGTAAATCCAGGTGTTAGTCCTGGCGAAAGTAGATAGACGGAGCCCCTTTTAAAAAGTAAACTAAAACAGTTACTTTTTATTTATTTAAAGACCCTCCCCCCAAAACACTACAGTTGCTTTTTAAAAATTTCCTTAGTTGAAATTATTTCCAAATTCCAAAATTGACCTCGCCTTCTTTCAAAGCAGAAAGGAACACCAAGGAATTTAACTTTCTCAATATTGAGAATATTTTTGGGCATGTGTCGTTGGCTGCAGCTTTCATTCCATTCATGCTCCCCCTTCCCTGTTACTGATTCGCGTGTGCACATCTATGTCAAAAAATACACTGCAGAGAAAGCAGTCCTGATGTGTCTCAAATGGTTGGTTTTTAAATCATTGGATTGTAGTTAAAAGTGGTTTTAACTGAAATTTTTAAATCATTGGATTGTAGTTAAAAGTGTTGATTGCACTGAACCAAGAGTAAGATTGCCTCCCTGTCCCCAGAGTTTTAACTGAAATATGTATGGAGCCTCGCCTGAAATATGGAGCCTCGTGGTGCAGTGATTAAACTGCGGTACTGCTGCCAAAACTCTGCTTATGATCCAGGTTCAATTCCAGGTAGCTGGCTCAAGGTTCACTCAGCCTTCCGTCCTTCCGGGGCTGGTAAACTGAGTACCCAGCTTGCTAGGGAGAGGCGAGAGCAGTGTGTAGTCTGCATAATTAAATTTTAAACAGCACAGGGAGTGTTTCAAGTGCTATGGGGCAATATATAAGCAGCACATGTTGCTTTAAAAATTACTGTAGTTAAATTCAGGGATAGGAAATATTCAGGGGTTTGAGACTGTCATTCCCAGAATTTATACTGGCTGTGGATGCTGGGAGTTGTAGTGCAAAAAAGCAAACATTTCCGATCTCGGGCCATCCCGCAGTCCCCTACCCCACCCCCCAAGAAGAAAGTGACAAGTTCAATGAGAGCAATGCCATTTCAGTGGTGGCCTGTGTTTTTCTGTTTGTTTGTTTTAAATCTAGCATAATTTTACTAGGTCTGGTTGCTAGCATTATAGCCGTTAAAAATATTTTTGGTTACTCACGGTTCTTGGAGCTGAGGCCTTAGTTTTTTATGCTTTACCTGCATCAGTTCACTTCATCAATTAGGAATATTGCAAGTTCTATCCAGGATTTTAAATGTTTCGGATAGTTACATTTTTGGGGTGGGTGAAAATATACATCAATGTTATTTGTTGGAACATGGGTTGTTAATTAGTGCAGCTATTCATCAGTTATTTGCTGAAAGAATCATCTCATGATATGTGTCACGTGAGTGCCAGAGGCAGGGATTCTAACTCGGTCAGAAAACACATGGTTTGCTTACAAATCCAACCGTAGACTCAAAACCAGGAAGGATCCATAGTCACAGGGATAGTAACGAATACTCTGCCTAAGAACTCAGAAAATTGCTGCTAAGTGAACTCACTCAGTGAGATGAATGAATAGTTTGTCTTGGCAACTTCCCAGGTCCCTTTTTTTGGCAGAAGAGTGAGTTGTGTCTACATTTTGAGATGAGATTAAAGAAAGTTGAGGAACACCACTTGATCTCATGCTGTACCATCATTCCTGTTTGCATTATTTTTATCGGTTTGATCTTCCATCACCTGGCATCTTGGAAATGTGGGGATAAATAGGGTGTTCATGTTGGCTGGCAGAATTTGAGGGGTTTTAGTTCAAAACCTAACTTTTGGTGCTGGCATCACTTCCTCATTTATTTTGATTGCAGAATTATTCTATGGTGGTTGTGGAATTTTGGCTTATGGACCTCTGCAGATCTTCCTTCCTTCCTTCCTTCCTTCCTTCTCTCTTTCTTTCCTTCCTTCCTTCCTTCTTTCTTTTCTTCCTTCCTTCTTCTTTTTCTTTATTTCTACT